ATGTTACCTAGGTACTATTTATATTCTATAAACAATACATTTTAGTGTCTGAGCGATGAATGTATCAAAATTACTATGTATTTTTAAATTTTTTTTTATTTGTCTGTGTACACTATAACGCATTGTCCAAAATGAATGCGTCGGATGCGTCGAAAAACAACAGCTTGTTTTCGCCGCATCGGACGCAATTGGAACATGCTGGTCAGAATAGAAATCGCACGCACTCGCCGGATTTACTTTTGACACGGCGTAAGTAGTTGAAATAATGCTTCGATTTTCAACTTCAGTATCTTGTTCGATAGGAAAGTGAATCTAGTTTTTGTATTGGGGAGGTCAAATTTAAAAATCCCAGTAGATTTTACTGAAATTTTTACGCATAATCTATTTTGGTTTTTGGTGTAACTCATAAATAAATGATCGTAGGTAGGTATATGACATTTCCACTGAATGTTTATATTAGCATTTGCTATACACCATGAATTATTTACACTTAAAAATATTTTGAGCTGCTTACGGAAATTTTCAGTTTGCAATTTTTTTATTTTTTTATATAGATGTCAATATAACTGTATTCGTTGGGTCAAACAATTTGAAAATTTAATACAAGACTCCTAATAAATTGTTACAAAGGCAGTTGAAAAATTTTAAAAGTACATAAACGCAATTTTTTTTTATATAAGCATTTAAATTTCGAATTTTGACATAATACGTAAAAATCATCAAAATATGCAAATTATTTTGAGTGAGAAATTTATAAAAAAAAATTCTTTTTTAATCCAAGATATGAAAATTTAACAGAACATTTTTTATAACTCATAAGCTGCCTACTTTTAACAAAAAAAAATGTTACTGGTAAGTCAAATTAAATTTTCTTAAGCCAAACGCTAAAGTTCTCATTTTTACGATATTGGATATTCACTCGGTTTCTTGTGTTACGATTTTCTTATTTTGTTGTAATTCAAAAACGAATATACGTAGATACTTGAAATGTATACCACATGTTTATTTTATCATTTCCTATACTTGATAGTTGATAACATTTAAAAAATATTTTGACTCGTTTCGATAACTTAAATACTCTATTCACAATTATATCATCAAATATAAGTACTTAGTAATATCATAGACTGACTGACCGTTTTAGCTCAAAATCTTTTTCGTATACAATGAATATTATAGCATTGAATACAAAACACTATCCATTACAGCAGCGATACTCAACCAGCGGCCCTCCAACGATTCATATGTGGCCCTAACAGAACTCATTGAATTGATAAAAAAATTAAACTTCAAAACTAATATTATTATAATTTATAAATATCGCACTTGCGATGAGGATGATTGTTTTTTTGGTATTTTTTCTATTTATAACGATTTTGATGTATTTTATGTTATTGCGAAATTGGCTAGTTTTTTTTTTTTTAATTTCCTTTTCATTCATTTCGACTTGGGTCCCGCATATTTTAAAATATTTTATGTGGCCCAAATAAAAAAAAGGTTGAGTATGGCTGCATAACAGTGACCCACTTGTAACCTACTTGTACACTGTATAGCAGAGCGACACGCACTTGCCCACCTTTTAAAAATATTGTAGTTATAATTTGTATGATGGATATCGTATTTCAGTCCTAGTTTATTTTAACAAATAATTGTAATTTTGAGAATTATAATAATATAATGCAAGAAAAAAATAAGGGGAGGAATGTGTATGTATAAATATTTGACCTAACCAGGTGTTTTTAACAGGTGTTTCTGTAGAAATACTATCTGTTATTCCATTTAATATTATTTTCCTCAATGTAATTTATTTTTATTTATGCTTTTGGTGATCATATCAAGTTTATAAATTATATAATAGGTTTTGAGGTTCCATGTGATGGTCCTAAACCTTGGATTTTACATTGTGCTGAGGATTTAATCAGTGGCGTCATTTTAGTTTTTATTAGACTAGGGCAACTTTTCACTGCTTTTCCGACTCAAAGTTTTTGCTTTTTATTCATAGCCCTTTTCTTAAAAGATAAAATTGTACATATGAATATTAATGATCAACTTCAATAAATCTAAGACATCATCAAACCCTATTTTTGTGTACAATACTATCAAAAATACGAGTTCACTGTCTAGAACTGTAGTTTTTATGCTGTACAAAACTACAAACAAATATTTATATTTAACTTTATAGATTTCTATACAAAATAAAAACAAAATAATTTAGGCTTAAAATATGTAGTAAATTAATTGTTCGTTATTCAGATGACGGTTAATTAATAATTTAAAATTAATTTGAGGCCCCCGATGCCGATGCCATTTTGTTCTCAATAATACACTCTGCTGGAATAACGATAAATCTAACAAATTTCACATTTTTTTTTTTAATTGCTAGAGGGAAATATCTTACAGTCCGCATTGATATCTGTTTTTCAATATTTTATTCTCAAACTTTATAATATGTCTAAAAAAATACAAGATAAAAAGCATTTTTTTACAATTTTTTAAAAATAGGTATCGGGTAGTAGATTAATGGAAAAGTTAATAATTGAGGTGGCAACTAAACTATAAAATTTAATTTTTAAATTTTATAGAATTGTGGAAAATTTGAAAAACTGGCACCGGGACCCTTAAGATGAATTGTCTAGATTTAGATTTGTCTTCTTTTAATTAACTGAAGTAAAAAATTAATTTTTATGTTTAAATATTGTGATTTCCGTATACAAATCTGTTTTAAATATTTGATACTGAAAATATGTATTGATATTAGTTATTACGTGGTTACTATAGCACATAAAATGATTATTTATAAACTAAATCATGCCGCTTTAATTATCTATGTTTAATTCTTGAATTTTTGTTAGGTTCTCCTATCTAAAAAGCAGAACTGAGTGGTTGACAATTTACACCATCCTTAACTAAGCGTTTAAAATTTCAACTCTGCAGTAAGTAGATGGTGGATTTTATTGTTTTGATGAATAATATGTGTTTGATTGCTTCTATAGTATTATGTATGATTATTTTAATGTTATTTGATTTAAATACTAAATTGCAAACACAATATTGTAGTTTATATTTTACATGATCGTATTGTTGCATAAATCGATTTATTTATAAGCCACAATTCTTTGTTTTGCGTTAAAAATAGAATTGTAATATTCCAATTATATCAGCTAATGTAAATGTGTTATTGTTTGTACTATAATATCTCTGAACAATTATGCATGAATCTACCTATGCACATTATGCATGTTCTTTTTATTGATATGAACATAACATATTCGAACTAGCTTGTATTGTAAAACTTTTTGCATTATGTTTGTTTTCATTTTGTTTTGGTATACAATTATACAAGATTCAAGATATAAAAATAAATAGGTATTAATATCTTAACCTATTTTTTTTTTTTTTATTAGCTATTAGTTTCTTACAACTCGAACCTTATAGATTGTTATTAAATTCATGCATATTCAAATTAGATAATACGATTTTTAAATTAATTTAAATTTAATACTTTTTATTGAGTATGTATAGTAATGCAATAAAAAATGTATTAGACTTTAATATATACTTGATATTTTTCGAAGGTCAAGGAAACACAATTTATTTTAACATTTCATTAAAGTTAAAGATTACCTACATTTAAAGGAGAAAATAATTTTGTTCTAAATATTGACTTAAGTATATCCAATTTCACCATAATATAAATTTTAACTAAGAATATTTTAAATACTTACCTACGCTGCATGTCTTTTAACGAATAGTATTACATTAAAAAAATTAACATAAAAATGTTCATTTTATAATATTATGATTGACTCAGTAATTTAAACTATTATTTTAAACGTTCTTGATAATTTGTAGTACCACCTTTTTTGATTCGACGTTAAATATTATCTAATCTCGCCTTTCTCGATCATAGTTTGTATACTAATATACACGTTATTCCGTACAAAAAATTGTATGCACTTCAACTAAAGTATTATATATTATTGCATAATATATCGTATGTGTTATTTTGTATATTATTTAGTTATGAGGTTCACTTAGAAGATTAAAACTAAGTTAAAGGTTATATATTTGAAACTATTAGGTAGGTTTACATAATATAGAGAAAATGTTTTTAATTATCATTTACTGAAAATTTACATAACTCTTTTGGTGTTATCATTAGTCGAATAGCTTACATTTTCCTCTTATATTTGGTCGTTTTAGGATTTTTTTAAATATTTCTCTTTTTTTTGGAAGCAAAACCCATATGATATGATCATCGTGTACTTGTTTTTTATTTCTATACATTTGAATTTATGACTAATTTAATATTTAAGATTGGTTTTTCGTATAACTTAAACTGAGAAACTTAACAAATATTTTATTGGTATAGTATTTTCCCATTTTATGTTGCTCAATTTCATATTATGCCTACATATTAACGCGGTTTTAAATTTCACATAAAATCTGTTCAACTCTAACACAATGTTGAAGTAAAAGCATCGAGCAGATGTTCGAACAATATACGAGCAGCTGTAACGTATAAGATCGTCCTTATTTCTTTTGTACATTGTTATGTTATAGGATGTCCTTTAAACTGAAAATAAACAGTTATGATTCTTTAATAATATGTAATATACGAATATACCAAATACCTATTTTGTTGAGAAATCTTTCATCTTTGGGATACTCTTAACTAAATTAAATATTTAAAAATATCGTATTAATTTGTGTTTAAACGTATTTATTCTAGTTGACGTTACATAACGCGTGTCATTAATTTAGAATGCCGTTGTTTCTTCACCATTATTTTTTATGAAACGCACATCGTCTTCTCTGTCGTCCAAGACGCAATTTTGGCTATTATATAAGAAACTAAAAACAACTAAGAGTGTCTTCGACAACATTTATTAGTTGAAATAATAAAACTTGAAATCCGCATCTTATGAGAACGCGTCGCGAGAAAACATCAAATTTCGCATCATAATTTGCATACATTTAAAACGCAGCTCGGATCATAACTAGTTTTTTTTATCCAACCGTTGCGGAGGTGGGAGAGTCTGCCGCCTGCCGGTGTAACCGATATCCGTATAATATTCTGGGCGACCGTCATCGAACGACGGTAGCAAAAATGTGAGAAAGAAATAAAAAAACGTACGTAAAAAAAGCGCCGGGCGACACGCGCAAGCTAACGCGGCGTGCACTATCCGCCGGCCACCGCCACGTGGTCGTGTAGCGCGAGTGCGTGACACGTTCAATTCGGCCGTGAACGTCGGGCAACACTGCGCCGTCGGCCGGCCGGCTCGTCCCCGCCTCTTGTAGTCCGTGTTCCGATGCCGGTACGGCGACGTCGTTCCCCTCGACCCCGCGTGTCGTCCATCATTGTCGTACCTTCCCCAGCGACGGCTTTCTCCTCTCCAACCCTCCACTGCCTTTTTCATTTCCCTCCGACCCCCGTCGCTCCGCGCTCGTACGCACACGCAGCAGATCGTTCCTTCGCACACTACCTACCACCACGTTGCTCGGAATCCGGTCCGTCGCCACAATATTGCGCCGTGGTTTTCGTAATTTCGTGTCTAGTACGGACCAGAGACGACTACTAACTGAGTGCATTACTCCTGCTGCAGTCTGCTCGTGTGTACGTAAATTCGCGTAGTAAGTTTTTGGTTTTCTTTCTTCTTACGATCGAATTTCTTCCCAACAGTCGCTGGCTAGTTTTTTTTTTTCAAATTGTATACTATTTTATTCGCTCCATCGATAGAACGGAAGTTCCGCCGACCGTAGTTTATCGTGACACGCACTATACGTATTTCGTGCGTCTTACGCCTATCGTGGTGGTGTTTCCCCCCCAAAAATAACACAATTAATTTAAAGAATTTATATCGTAATATATTTTAATTTGTATTTGTCGCGGTTTCAATAGTATTATGGCACGAGGCGACAACGTGGACAAGGTTGGTTACCCGTTTTTATAAATAGAAACGAAATAATTGTATTTGTTATTTTAGTAGTAGTATAGTATTAGTATTATTGTTAGTAGTAGTAGTAGTAGTAGTAGTAGTAGTAGTATTGTATACTTTATAGTATTTATTATAGTATAGTTCGAGCGAGCGGCGTTCGTTGCGCCCTCGTGGTTTCTGGCCTGCGACGGCGCGAGTTTTGTATCGTCTACACAACGTGGTTTCTATTGTTGCCGCCACACGTCCCATGCGTTCGTGACGGCGGCCTTTGGAGCTACGTACTTTTAATTCGACGTCTGCAGTTCTGACGTCTTCCATGAAACCATGATGGATCGCGCAGCTGATGTCCCGATAGATTCACACGTGGGTGTGGGTGGTTGTTGTCTTGGCGTTTTTCACCGTCGGCGACGATTGTTCGCCGTGGCAGTGACTGTAGATACCCGCGAATCGCGTGTGCGTCACGCGAGGCCGTCTGTTTCGGTAACGTGTCGGTATGAACGTACATAACCTAACAATGTAGTGTGTGACGGCTACTGTAAAACGCACGTCTCTGAAGTCAGTACACGGTACCACGTCATCCTACTTATTACACCTGCGAATTCAACGTTACGCTCATAAAGCAAATCTCATGCACTCTTGCTCGCGACCTAGGCCTCTAAATTGCGATATAAAAAATGTTGAACATTGGAAATGTGCACGTTTAATTTTGGCCGTCTTGCTTGTGTACGTGGATTGTTGTCGCGATAAGACCACGGACGTTATGTTTATTGTTATAACCAACCGGTTGGCGTGTGGTAAAAACCTGACCTGATGGTCGTGCGGTGTGTGCGATTTACAGTTTTTACCTGTTACCGGTACGTGATTAAGTGCAGTTCACCTGGGGGTTTTTTTTATGGAAATCGTTATTTATATATTATTATATTCACTAAAATATGATATTACTATACTATGAGTCCATGAGCGGTCAGGCAAGTGGCTTTTTGTCTGGTTTTATTACTTCAATTAATTCGGGTTTTTTACATATATTCCCAGTCCTGGACAACTCTTTTAATAATTATTTATTTATACTCCCGTGTCAGAATGCACTTAATTAAATACCGAGCAATTATTGTTGTAATCACCACGGCGTAGTATCTCGCGCGATCGAGTGCGTTTTATATAATCGCAACGAGAAATGTTCACATTAACCGTCGCCGCCAGACCATATTTCAAAACCCAATCGTCTATTATTGCTCTAATTACCTTTCTATTTTACTATATTATTTACAGTAATATATAATATGTTTAGTCCGCTTTGGGAAAGTAAAGTGAATACTTTGGTCGATCATACGGTTTTAATTTTAAGGAATGTTAATTACTGCCTAGGTATCAAAGTATTTAAATATTGCACAGTTGCTACAATACGTTTTCAGAATGTTTACCAGCGATTAAACGATTTGTTCGGTCCCTTTTTGTAAATATATTATAATATAATATATTATTATGCGCTAATAAATTTATTTTGTTGAGAAAAAAATTGGAATATATTATTGAAATTATAATTTTTTTTGATCCGTAATGAAATCAATGACCCGGTCGTTTTAGTATCAAACCTTGAATGTAAATTAAATTTAACTATTATAATGATAATGACTGTCAATTTACAAAAAGTAAAGATAGAATGACGTTTGATGTTTATTAGAAATCGATTTTAACTTAGCGTAATATTTTGTAACATACTTTACGGATCTATTAAGTTTTGTGCATTCGATTATGGTACTATAATATTGTTTTCGGAGTAATTCGTATGATTTAACATACAAACAATTATTTAACTATGAAAAGCATTCTTCCCATTTCCTAGTGCGCCCATTTTTGATTCTTGTTATTGCAAAATGCGTGTTCAATTAATCTCCGAAAATTGTGAATTTCTCATCGTTTCAAATAACAATTATTGTGACTTAAGAAGTATTAGAACATCGAACGATCTTCCTAATAATCATGCCATTATATTATATTTTAGTTGCGTAGGTAGGATAAGGAATTTATTATTAGGCATTAATTAGCTCGATTTTGATGGCCGTTTAAATTGTTAATATTATGTATTATCCACAATCAAATAATATTACCCATTTTAAAATAATAAGATTATAACTCATATTGAAGTTCTTTATTATGTGTAGGTAATTCTTAATTGCCATCATTGTTAAAATAAGTGTTATTATTAATTTTCTAAAATGCTTACCAGTACCTTTATTATTACGAAGTAGGCATTAATTGCTATTTGTTTTAATTTAAAAACAAAATAAAAATTCAACTAATATTTCGCTTCTATTTAATTCTTTTGACTTATTCTACAATTTGTTATAGACTATTTTAAAATTATTATATTTTTTTTTACTCCCTCGTGTGTTTTTGAGATCATTTTTGGATTATTAACATTTTTATTTTTTACCTTATAGTTACGAACTTATAGATTTTCTAGTTATTGGTTTATTAAGACAAAAAATAAGGTCCTATCAACAATATTCTATTATTTTTACAATAATCGGAAGTTCAAAAGGTACAAGTCGGAAGTTTAATTTAATTTTTATATTGACTGATTTTTCGTTCATGACCCATGCTTGTATTAAAACATATTTTAGATAAGTTTATTGACTGAACATGGCAACTAGCCAAACCTGTTTTTCATACAATTCGATACGTCATAGGTTCATGGAAAAACAGGTATGTGGTCTGATTTCTTCTCAGACACAGCCACCGGCAATCCACCTAGTAGATTCTGCTCTACACGCTCACCGGCAACGCCTAAACTACACACTTTATGACACGTGTAGTGTTAAATAAACGAATCAAAGAAATGGTATTGATTTTTGTTTGGCAATATAGAACGATTATATTTTTATGTTTATGATTTATGAATAACCATAAAACAAAATACGAGAATACTCATTGAGCCCAGTATTCTTATCTTGAGAAATAAATTAATAATAATATTATATAGAAACATCGATTATTTGATAAAGAAATTCCAACAATTGTGTGTATTATATTCAGCAATCTACCTAACTGTTGGGGTCACATGTGCATTTCAACATCTATAACCACTAATAATAATTGTCCTTCTCCTCTCACACTACAGTATATATTTAAATCATCTTATTTTCTCTCTTTATCTCAACTTTTCCTACATTTCATCTCTCCTCCAAAAATGTCATCAATCATCAAAACCATTCTTAATTTTGTCCTTCAGATTGGTTTTAAAATTATTCTAGCTTTAGGTTAGGTTAATTTACTCAATTAGTCAATTTCTACTCGTGGTCTGTTCTTTTCTGTTATGATTATTATGATTATTATAATAATTATTGGTATATCAATTTTTATCATCGTTATTTTTTTTATTTTTTTTTCCGTACTTTCAAATAATAGGTGGGATACAGTCATTTCTGTTAAAATGTCATTAAATAAAAAACAATGGTTGTATCAATAACAATTAGTTTATTTTACTATTTTTTTTATCATATTCAGGAATATGTAAGTCCCATAATATAAGGGTTGCTTTGGAATTGCACACAGATGGTACTTTTATAATTTGTCAAACATATTACCTAGTAAACTATAAAATACAAATAACTACTGCTCCGATTGATTTTTAGAATATGAACTTTTTGAAGTACCTAATGATCCAAAAAATTTAAAATTATTACCAATTAGTTTTTTTGTTTTTATTTTCAATTTTCATATAGTAGCTAGTAATAAATAAGATACATTTTATGTATAATATTGTTGTTTCAATCGTAATGCAAATTCGGCACTATATTTTTTTTTAAAACATTTTATGTGAAGATAGGTATAGGTACCTAAATTTCACTATGATATTACAATTATTGGGTTGGAACACGTTTTTTAAGTTGGGCAGAATTTCAAGTTTGTGGCACCCATAGGTTTCTGCCATATCCGGGTGCCGGCATCTCTCTTACGAAGAAGAATGTCACCTGTAGCCGGGTACGAACCGACGACCGGGGCCACTTCCCAACTGACGCCTTAGTCCGCTTGGCCACTCTGTCCCCCTTATAACATTTTTATTTGTTGGTAAAACAGCTAAAAGTGAATACAAGATCCTCTTAAATTGTAATCACACCAGTTAATAAAAAGATATGGAATATGCATAACTACCTACAATTTTTATTTATGCATTTAAAATTCAAATTTTGACAAAAATTTCCATTCACTCTAATACCAAAAAAACGAAAATATCTCACAATTTGCTTTGCAACACCACAGCAGTTAGTTAGGTTAGGTTTGACCACAGGGTGACCATCGTATATCCTCTCTTATCGTTTTCCCTAATCTTTATATACTAACTTTGAAATGTCGTAACTTCGAAATTATGCCCGAGTACCAAATTCAGACAATTCTGACTTAACCATTGTTTTCAGTGTACTTAACTACATCAGTTTCAAAAAGAAAAAAAAGGTGTCGCGTAAAGTAGAAATATACCA